CCACAAATCACATGTGACTTACACAGAGTAAAGAGTGGGGTTTCAGGATCCAACCTGTGTATAATGTGTGAATCAGCCTTTTAATGAAACAGACAACTTTTTATCTACTGGCAGAATTTAAGAGTACCTGACAGATGGTGAAGAAAGCATGTTGATGTTGGTAGCTATGGGGAAGGGCTTTAGTGGGCACTTCAGATAATGAGCTAATGGTTGGGATTCTATGGCAGCAGGTAGGCTATTATGGAAACAGCAATTAAATATGTGTGGGGGACTTTAGTGGGTAGTTCAGAGGACCAGAGGCTATAGTGGTGGGAAGAAAAATGTGTATAGAGAGAGCAGAAAGGGAGTGGGTGGCACATTAGATCATGGTTCCCCAGTGTGCCACCCATAGGCACCATGGCACTCATGGGTCCTTTCCCTAACTCTCTCTATCTTTTCAGAAAGTGCACAGGGCTGCTGTAAGGCAGGACTTGTTATTCACTGACCTCATTCAAATGGAAGGGTTTTTTAGAACTGCAAAAGCAGCTGCCACCACTGACAGATTAAGATGACAGCTAAGCACCCGGGCTTTCCTTAGACAGTGTGTGGTTCCATTCCCACTTCAAGCTTTCCTTCTTTTTATTCCTCAATCTCTCCCACCCTCCCCCAGTTGGGCTTTCCTTCATTTCCCTTCTCTTCTTTGAGAAAGAAGTTTAAATTTTTTTAATAGGAAAATAAAAAAGCCTCCCATAAATATAGATCAAGATGGGTAGTCATGCTAGTCTGTCTGTAGCTGTAGAAAAGCACAAGAATCTAGTAGCACCTTAAAGACTAACAACGTTTGTGGCAGGGTATGAGCTTTTGTAAGTCACTGCTCACTTCTTCAGATACACTTCAGGTTCATTGTGGAATAAAGTAACATAGAGGGGTGATTATGATTGCAATGAGTTTGTGACCTGACCGACTCTTCCCATGAGCTGCTTTTGCAAAGCAGGGATGGAGCTTTGTTCTGGTCTTAGAGTCCCAGGTGGCTGGGCTGTTGCCTGAGGGGAAGTAAATGTTCAGTAGTAGAAGCCCACCTGCTTTGTCTCGAGCTTGCTGTCCTCACAAGGGCTGAAGGAAGCTGCCAACCAATGTACAGACAATATTAACCTTGACAGACCAATGGCTGGACTCTGAATTAGGCAGCTTCGTATGTTCAGCATGGTTGCTGTGTGATTCTTTTGCAAAGCAAGAAGGGAGATATAAGTTTAGTTCTACCTCATGTGGCAGCCATTTTAAGGTGGTGCTCATCACCAACTCTCAAAATTCCCAAAATGACTCCTGGCTTGAAAATGTTGGGGACCCCTGCCTTAGATCCTAAGAGGCTATAAGGTGAGCCTTTGGAGGAGAAGGGTTAAGGGGGGCTATAATAAAACTGAATAAGTGGGAAAAACTTTGAAAAGGAAAACTAAGGAAATAATGCTAATAATCATGTCCAACCTGCTTCTAATTTGCTTTGAACTCTAGAAAAAAATTGGAGGGAAATGCTCGGGGGGGAAAGAAGTAAAACTTCAACAGACTTTGCTTTTATGGGCATCAGATTTGGGGCAAAGTTCAAAGTTTTATGTGGTCCAAATGTCAACACAAAGCTGAGCAAGATTCTTGTTTATGATCATTGACCACTGCAATGTCCTTCCCATTTCTTATTGACCTACTGCAGTTGTACTGACATAGCCTCCTTCTAAGCTCTGTGGTACCATTCAGCCAATAGTTGGTCTGAGGTGTCTCCCCCCCATCCTTGGATGACTCAAGGAGTTTAACAATCAAATTTAACAAGCATCATTATGCACTAATCCTGCCAACCCAAAAGGGCCTAACCACTAACCAGTAGATTAAGAACAAGGCCTAATTCAGTACCCTTGTCTGAAACATCAGTGAGAAACAGGCAAAAAAAAAAAAGTTTCCATTGCAAGTAATCACAAAGAAACTCCAAACATTTCCTGCTAAACCCCTGTGACCAGATAATCCCACAGTGCTGTACAGGCAGGGATGGGTAGAATTGTCTCAGTTAAGAGACCAGCCCCCTTGACAATATGTTCAAGTTTTTCATAAATGTCTATACCAAGGGCTGCATTTTTTCAGAGCTTTTGTTTGATTGGATTTTAATTTTACATATGGACATTTTACCCTGTACTTCCAGCATTTCATGGTCCCTCGATCCTCCTGTTTGTTTTCATTTTACACTTTCTGCATAAAAATGCTGTACAGAATTTGCAAATGGATTTGTTCAGGAGGCCCTTTTTTAATTTTATTCATCTGCCTTGAATATCTGTAAGAATGGTAAACTATAAATGAAGCAAGTAAATAAGGATCTGCTCTTACTATCTGAAGAAGTGGGCACTAATCCACAAAAGTTTATACTGGGATCAAAAGTTTTTAGTGTTTAACATGCCACAAGATTCTTTTTTTTTAATGAAGGCTGTATTTAAAATTCTTGGTTCAATATTAGCCAGATATTAATCTGAAGCTGTTGCTAGCTATACTGTATTCTTAGAAAATATTTTAGGCAGATGGCATACAGAATAAATGGCTGCCTTTTAAATGGAAAAATTCACTTTAGAAATGGAACATTGATGTGAACAGCCTATACAGTGTAGTGAAGTCAATTTAGCTGGATTAGTTTTATATGCCATTTCATGTTTTGAACACATCATTTATTTCAAATACTTTAGCTGATCATATTTTTAAAATTGGCATATATGATAAAATAAATATAAAACAAAAGTTTCCAAATAAATGAGTTTACTGCTGTCACACTAGTTTGAAATGCAGGTGAATGTATGTCATAAGAATTCATTTATTTTGATTTGATTGTAGGAATTAGTTGTTTCCCCTTACTCTAGTATTGCTGTAATGTGTGAAATTTTAATGATGAACATAGGGCCTTTCAAACGCTGATAAAATCTCACACAGAAAGAATCTTGATACAATGCATATTTCATCGATGTACACAAGTGTGTAAGTTTATCAAACTTTTAGCGCTTACCTCTTGGGCTCAGTATCTAAAATGGTTATGATGATTCTTGGAATTGAAGCTTACTTGTTTTTGTCATGTTATCTCTATAGAGTGTAGTGTTGAAACGGTCTGTATTTTCCTATCACTATTGTTGTCGTTCACATATTACTGTTGTTATTACATAAATCATATAGATGATGTATGGGGGGATACCCCTTATTTCACAGTAATGTTAAAGCCATACTTTGCAAATTGTTCTGAGTTATACTTCAATTGTATCTTGCTTTGTTTTGACTGGTATTGTTACATGTTTGTAAAAATATAACTATAAAATAAAAAATATTAATAACAAAAAAACTTTTAGCGCAATTGAGATAACTTTTACTACTATTTCTGTAGTCCTTTGATAGGTTATAATCAGTAAAACATCACACACAAGTATAATGTTGCCAGCCTCTGGGTGGGGCCTGGAGATCTCCCGGAATTACAATTTATCTCCAGATTACAAAGATCAGTTCCCATGAAGTAAATGGCTACTTTGTATGGTGGACCTTATGGCATTGTACCCAACTGGGCTCCGTCCCTTTCCCACATCCTGCCTTCCCCAAGGTTCTACCCCCAAGTCTCCTAGAATTTTCCAATCCAGAATTGGTAGTCCTACACAAGGACCTTGATACATATGATGATCACAAAGATTGCTTTGTTGCCATTTATTTCTTAAATCAGTGTACATGTGCAGACAAATAGCATAGAGGCGTGAAAGTCTCAAATGTATGCTAAGCTCAGCTGCTTTCTTTCTGTGTAATATTATTGCTGAAAGATAAGCTTAATTAGAAATAACAACCTTTAAGATATAGATGTGGTTTCTAGTTCCTTAGATAGACAGATAGATAGAATCAAATGCTCTCTGTAGATTGATGAACGCAGCATAAAGCTTTCCCTTTTTAAAGGCAGAATATTTCTCAACCAAATGAGACTAATTCAAAAAAATCCAGTCTGATCTGGGCCCAAAATCTGAGTTATCCACATCTAATTATCCAGTTTGATGTGTAGATGGTAGGTGTATAGTTTACCCAAGACCAAAGGAAGATTGATAGGGTAATAATTAGGAGGGCTGTTTCCCCCCCCCTTTCTTATAAATAGGTGTTACTATTGCCTGCCTCCACTGGTCAGGTATTATCCCTGTTCCATCAATTGCCATAAACAAATCAGCATTTACTGGCAACAGCCAACCAACGTCAGCTTTTAGAAGGTTGGGAGGAACGAAATCTGGCCCAGGCACCTTACCAGCCTTTAGATGGTTAATCAACAAGTTTAACCTCATCTAGTGATATTGGATCCCAAACAGGCAAATCCTCAAACTTCTCTATAATATCATCTATTAAAACTGAGTTGGGGTCATGGAACATAGTTTTCATTGGTGTTCCCAAACCCATGGATAAATTTCTTTGTTGACTTGGGCATCTGAACTCTTTATAGGGTTGCTGGGTCCTTCCTAGTCCCCAGTGGGGGATGAATTTGCTGCTTGGAGTTCAGGTGTGCGCCCCCTGCTTCTTGCCCAAAGCATTTAAAGAGTACAGCACAATATAGATGATTAGTTTTAAGGTAAAGAGTTAGGGATGCATGAGAGTTAGTAAATTTACATTTCTAGTCGTTTCTTGGTCTCTGGCTCTTCAAGGCCTTACAGTCCCTATCAAACCATCTAGTTTTCCCTCATTCTATGAGAAGCAGGTTTAATGGTGTAAAGGGGTTACAGCAAAAATGTACATAATATACAGATCATTCACTGATCCATCAAATTCAATAGTATCTACTTTGATTTGAAGTGGCTCTCCAGGCTATCTGGCATAGAAGGTCTTTCTTCATTACCAGATCCCTGATATCTTTTAACTGGAGATGTAATTTTCACCAAGGAAAGAATGTGATCTTTCCCTAAAGAAATGTATATTCTTGATAAGCAGAAAAAATTATAGTCTGTCTTTAAATTGCTACCTTTAACTAGTATCTTTCTTCTACCTTTCAGCTCCTTGTGGCTATAATGTGACGTCTCAGAATGGTACTGTGTATTCCCCAGGATTTCCAGATGAATACCCAAATTCAAAAGATTGTACATGGATTATTACTGTACCACCGGGCCATGGGATCTATATCAATTTCACCTTACTCCAAACAGAGCTAGTGAATGACTACATTGCAGTTTGGTATGTGACTTATTTGTTTGTTTTATACTTTTTCTTTGTCTGTTAAAGTCTGTAGCCACAATCTCAAGAGCTGTGCAACTAACTCAGATGTCCAGTAAATTTTGTTTAATAGCTGATTTGTGCTGTGCTTGTGTGAAGCAAAGCACCCTGATTCCCTTCAAGGGTTAACGTGAATATTAGAAGGCCTGCTCCAGTTTGCAGGTGTCCATAATTGAGAATGTGGTAATTGGTTAATCATTTTTATTTATTTATTTATATTTATTTATTTTGGGATTTATATCCCACCCTACCCAGCAGCTCAGGGTGGCTAACAAGCGTCAATGCCGAATTTAAAATTTAAAACAGTAAAACAATATTACATACATAATAAAATCGGTGCTCTAATAATCTACATAAAATCATCATAAGAACCTATGTTCAGTTGTATAACTGGAGGGAGGGAGGAAGCAGAAGTGGATGTCATCTTCTGTAGGGTTCATGCGAGCTCCCTGATTGGGTTTGGGAGACCACCCAGATGGCCAAAGACAATAATTAAGCCATAGGCAAGATGGAAGCTGTGCTAACTTTATGATTTGACCAGGCTGTTTCTCTGACTGTGTAATGTTTCATCACGATGGACAGCTGCATAGAGAATGCTTAAACCTCTAGCTTGGACTCTTGTATTCTAAGAAAGTATACCGTCTAATACCAGGCACTGACATATTAGATAGAAAGTTAGCTTTGTTGTTTTCTTGCTATTAAATTGCAGAGACTGTGTTGCTTAGTGATAGCCTGTCTTTTAAAATATTTAATAAACCCCTGTACATTTTACAAAAGGGTGTTTATTTGTGTACACATAACCTTGAAGACCCATGGGCCAGGACACTGCTCACTTGCCAAACAAGTGGTGACCTGGGGGGACCTAGGTTTAGGTTCCTTATAGCTTGGCAACCCTGTTTTAACATGCAGGGACATTTCAGAAGCAGATAGTTGGATGGTTACCAATGCTCCCTCTAAGCTGTGGAGTCTTGTGAGCAAAAATTCTACTTTGTGGCATTAAAATTGTGAGCAAGTGATTTGGCTACTGCATAAATTAGTTTGTTCTGGAGCCGTCCTTCCTGAGCGAAGACAAAAATGTGTGCGCCGGAGGCTAAAAAACTGTGAGCTAACTCATACTGAGGAACACTGGTGGTTACCCTTCACTACAGTATAGAAGCTTTTGCTGTAGGATTCAGGTTTTTTGAAGGCACATTCAAGCATGTCGCAGACCATACCTGTGGAGCAAATGGAGTATTCTGAGCACACCCTGCTCCAAATTTATGCAAAGAACTCCCAACTGGGGCCATTCCAGCTCATGAAAAAGGTGTGTGGGAGCCCATCTCTCCCCCATGCTGCTCTCTGGAGCAAATTCAGGCTCCTGCAGGCTTTAAAAATGGCATTTGTTGCAGCTGCAATGTGTAGTTTGGCCTTGTGTTAAGGCTGACATAGCTGGGGGGGAGGGGAATTATGATATTAAAGAGTTATTGGCATATAGTGCAGGGCCATAACCTTTGTATACCAGAGTCAGAATTCCCAGAGCCCATGAATAGATGAGGAGACCAGTTTGATGTGATAACTGGTCTTTTACTAAATAATTATCTATCATACAGAAATGATAAGCACACAGACACACTCAATACAGATCTAGGAAGAATTAGGCAGGAAAAGACAGTGACTTTTCACATTAGCAGGAATATCGCTGATGAGTGATATGTTACCTGTCCGGTGAGATGAGTACACTGTGCAGCGAAAAGGGAAGACAGAGAGAGGGAGTGGATTGTAAGCCGGCCAGCAACACATGTGGAGTGCCCCCAAACTGATCAGGTACGGAACCTGAAAGGTGTGTGTGTGGGGGTGAGAGTTCTAAAGCATGTGCAGAGAGTTCCCCTTAAGTAGCCAATTTTGTGACCTGAGGCAGGAACTGGGTGGTCACTGGTTCCCAGGAAATGTAGAAGAAAAAACCCTTAAGATGAATAGGACAAAGTGGTTGGACAATTTAGGGTTGATGTGCTTAAGGGAGTGACACCTCTTGGGGAAGCTGTGAGACATGGGAAGGAAAAAGAGGGTACAATCACTTTAACGATTTGATTCTTGTCATGGGTGTCCTCTGGATCAGTGGCAGGAAGGCTGTGAGTCCGATCAGATGGCTCTTTAGATCCACGCAAGGCACGATTGCCTCACGGATCTAAAGGTAATGTCCAGACACAAACATCTGGGAAATGTCCCTCTTGCATGGGCATCCTATTTTGCCTCGCTTTGGTGCCATACTTAAAAGATAGCACTTTAAATCTGGGGTTTTTGGTTACCTGCGGGACAACTGTGGACTTTCACCTGTCTGATCGTTCCACCACCACGCAATCCTCCCGTCAAGGTGGTCTGACGTCAGACTATCCCGAGCGGGCACCATTTAAACAAATCTCTACACATGCGTGGATCAACACGCTGTGACGCCTATGCGCATGCGCCAAAAGTTTTTTTCTAAATAAAACTCCACCGCGCATGCCTCCAGTGGATGCCATCTAGACAATCCACAACAGAGGCAGCGCGCGGTAAGGCGATTCACCAAGGGGATGTCTGGTCGTGCTACGATGGATTAAAAAGATCGGGATAAAATTCAAGCTGGCATAATGACAGGATTAGCTGCCCATCTGAATGCACCCTCAATCGCATCTTTTGTTTCTGGCTGGGCAACAGTCTTTGTTTAAGGATGTCTCGGGGGAAGAGGGATGTGCTGCATGCTGGAGAAGCAATCCTTTCATGGCTTCTTTGCAAGAACTTCTGGCCTCTTTCAGAACATGGCTCCTCTCTGGTCTGCTGCTGTTTCTGTGTTCATGAAGACTGGGGCTGCTGGTCTGCATCACGATGCTTATGCAGATGCATAGTGGACCATGGGCAGAAGTCCTTTGTAGTCTTGGGTCCAGATCTGGCTTGGCATGCACCTTTGGCACAAGGATGCCCTGGCCACAGTATACAATCCATAGTCCAGCATGGGGCACTCAATTTAGGATCACAGCTCTGTCCCTTGTCCTAGCACTCATTTCACAAGGATTGAGCTATGTGGAGCTACCCTTCAAAACAGTTTGAAAACTTTAGCTGTTGTAATATGGAGCAGAACATTTGTTATCAGGAGAACCTCTTGTGGGGAACACAGCTGCTGAATGAGTTCATATCAGGAGCGACAGGTCTTTAGGTACGGGGTCATGAAGAGATTTAAGGTAACCAAGACTGGCAGCACCTTAAATGAGACCCAGAAACAATTAGGCAGCCACTAAAGAGAATTCAGGACTAATGTAACGTGACCCCAACAAGTAGACCCTGATAACAAATGTTCTGCTCCATATTACAACAGCTAAAGTTTTCAAACTGTTTTGAAGGGTAGCTCCACATAGCTCAATCCTTGAGGTTACCATAGCATGGATTAGCAATATCTGCAGAAATAGGGTCAACTTCTGAACTAAATGCAACAGGAAAAATGTATTTGCAGTACCAAAATCTCTTTCCTTTTGTACCCTTAGAAGCTCATTGATTCATGAATCCTGAGCAGCAGAAGATACTTATTTCTTATTTTTTAGATGCAAGGGTGTCCCATAATCTTTTTTCCTATTTGGAGACTGAAAAGTATGCAACCGGAGAGTGATTTCAGCAAAGCATACTTTATTCTATCCGGAACAAGACGACTTGGGCCGGCTCGCAGACTGGCTTATATTCCCCGAGAAACAGACACCCCAAACACACCCCTACTTCCCTGTAGGTTATTTACAGTGGCCGAGAGTCCCATAGGCTCTCGGCCAGGAACCTAGCCCCCTGATTGGAGCGGGCTATGATCTGCATAGTCCATTGTCTCTTGGAGCGAAGCTCAACATTTGTCTCTTGACTTGTCTGGACTGGATACATTACACCCCTCCCCCCTTGGTCCGCAATGCACCCACAGACAAAGTCCTTCAGGTGGGCTGGTAACTTCCTGGTGCGGGTAGAGCAGCGAGGTTCAGGGACTGCTGCGGCTTCTACCCCGGGAGCCCTCGGAGGCGAGCTGGCCGGGAGAGGTGCCGGGGGCAGCGGTGCTGGCGTCCCCGACGCCTCCAGAAGAGGTGACTCGGGTTCAACCAAGGGTAGAGGCCGGGGGTCGGCCACCGGGAGTTGGGCCTGGGGTGAGGCCTCCGGAACCTCGGCCATGTCCGAGTCCTGGGGGGTCCAATGGTATCGTCTGGCGACGTAGCCGGTCGATGTGCCGGTGTTGAACTTGGCTGTCTTCACAAGAGACCTCATACGATCTGGGGCCCTTAACTCTTTAACTCATGCCGGGATCCAGGTGAGCCCCCGGGCGTAGTTCCGTGCGTACATGGGATCTTCCGGGAAGAAACCCCTGGCTGCCTCGTGCGTCTCCGTGCCCGGTGTCTCTGTCGATACCCAGTCGGGGTGCAGACGATCCAACTAGGTCACCAGGCGGCAGCCCAGAAGTAGCTCTGCCGGACTGCGCCCTGTAGTGGTGTGGGGCGTTGTTCGCTGGCCGAAAAGGAAAGCTGCCAGTTTATAATCCCAGTTCAGGGAGTCCAAGCGGCGGAGAGCATCCTTTGTGGTTCTGACCATGTGCTTGGCCTGGCCATTGGTGGCAGGGTGGTGGACCGCCTTGGTGCGGCGGTCTTGGTGTGCCTTTTTGTATGCAGTGGCCTCCCAGATTGCCTTCTCCAGGTCCAGGTTGTCCTGGCTTACCAGCTTCCTCTGAAGCTTAGGCTCTCAGAGTCCCACGAGGAACTGGTTGAGGAGAGTTTCGGTTAGGTTGGAGAAGGAGCACCTGGTTGCACTCCACCATAGAGCCGCCAGGAAATCTGAGGCGGTCTCGTCAGGGCCCTGGACCTTCGCAAAAAAGTCCAGGCGCTCCACAAACTTCGTTGGTTTGGGAGCCAGATGGTCGGTCAGTGCCTTAACCAAGGAGTTGTACGACTCGTCTTTGGTCAGCTTGGGCGCTATTAAGTCCTTAAGCAGGAGATAGGTCTCCATCCTGCAGTGGCGCAGCAGGTATGCCTTTTTTATATCTGGATCCACCGCTTTGTGGATGGTGAAGTTGCTCTTGAGAGTTTCCAGCCAGGTCTCCCACTGTGAGGGTTGGGAGATGTCGAAGACTGGGAGACTCTCTGATGCGGGCAGCCATCTTATGGGTTCCAAGTGGAAGCGAGCGGTGTAGACGGCAGAGCGGTGCTGCTCTCGGGGTCAGTGGCACGATGCTCGGAGCTCGGGAGTGGTGTGGTGAGCGGCGCTTCTCGAAGATGCTCAATGCTGGCGGTGGTGGCAAATTCAGCGCAACGGCTCATGGCGATGTCCTGAACGTGGTCTCTGTTCTGAGGGAGATGGATCCCACCTTCGTTGCCAGTGAAAGTACGCAACTGGAGAGTGATTTCAGCAAAGCGTACTTTATTCTATCCGGAACAAGACGACTTGGGACAGCTCGCAGACTGGCTTATATCCCCCGAGAAACCGCCACCCTAAACACACCCCTACTTCCCTATAGATTATTTACAGTGGCCGAGAGTCCCATAGGCTCTCGGCCGGGAACCTAGCCCCCTGATTGGAGCGGGCTAGGATCCGCATAGTCCATTGTCTCTTGGAGCGAAGCTCGACATTTGTCTCTGGACTTGTCTGGACTGGATACATTACAGAGACCCAGACATAATCAGATCCCCAAGCTTTTAACTGAGTCCTTCAAAGAAAGGTGTATCCCATCCATAGTTGGGGGAAGCTACCCCATGCAATTCAGAGTTTACCAGCTAGCATAATATCTATCTTATCAAGGATCAGGTTCAGTTTATTCTATCCCAGCCATTTAGCCACCACATTCAGGCACTGGATCAGCACAGAGATGGCAGATCCTGACAATTTAGTCAGGGTGATATACAATTGGTATCATCCACATATCGATGACACCCTTTTTCGGACTCTAGTTCTGGTTTATAACCAGCATTGTGCTGCCCCCAGCAGAGATCAGAATAGTAAAATGTAGCAAATTGTTTACTGTATCTTTAAACGTATAATGAATTCTGGGACCTGTAGTTCTAGCAACCTCAGGGTCAGTTGGTCTGAAGTAGCCTTCCTGGTTGTTTCTATATAGTTTCCTATTCCTGTAATAAACTAGCCCACAAAAGTAGGTTTTATTGTCATTTTCCTCCCTTTGTTCTGCAATCCCTTGGCTAATGAAATGGGAGGGACTCATCTCCTTTTGCTACATGAATCACTCAATAGACTCTGAACTTTAAGATGCTCCTACCAGCCCGCTGAAAATGTGATGTGAGTAAACTGTTCCCTTAGAAGCTTAAATGCTGAATAAAGGATTATTCTAAGCCTGAGTGTTATTGTGCAATGAATGCTTAGCCGCCCCAGGTCCAGCTCTGTCTGCAGCCCCTGGAGCTGCGTAAGTATGATCTGGTTCTGGGTCATACCTTATTGAACAACATAGGGGAAAGAGCTGATTCTATGGATCTGATTCCACATTTGCTACTATCACCCTTTGTGTATGGCGTATTTTTATACTCCACCGAGACTTACTTCCTCTTCAAGGTACTTCAGCAGTTTTGTTGTGGTTCACCTGATAAAGGAAGCTGAAAGATACTATAGAAGTAGCAGGGATACATTATCCCTTTGAATGCAAAGACCATCTACTCTTGGGGTCTTGCCCTTTGACCCATGTTGAAAATTCACACCTTTGGGCAAGCTCAGGCTTGAATTACTTGCAAAAAAAAGTGCAGAATGGATGCTCAGCCACCAGTCTTAATCTGCTGGTCAGGTAATTTCCCTCTTTCTCCCTTGAGGCATAATTTGTGTCTTCCTTGAAAATGGTGTAGTAGATGCTGCAGTGTTACTCTTTCCAATGCTGTTCTGCTAACTTTTGAAAGGAAACAATAATGTGGATTGGCCAATTGATGTGACTGGCTCTTGCACAAGTCTTGCCACCTAATATCTTTCTAGTTCAGCTTATTCTTTGAGCCAATAGACTAGAGCAGGTTACATCTGTTATCTGGGAGGGAGGTGAATAGAGTTTTAAGAGGATGATTGATACTTCCATCCAATTTATATACCTTTCCCAGCTGATTGGATGGGGTAGGCTATAAAGTGAAATAAATGTGCATTCCATACTGCTTTGTTGTTAGCAAGATTTTATCAGAATGCAACAGTCCAACCTGTTGTATTTTGTCATATTAGCAACTTAAATTAACAATGCTTTCAATTGTGAGGGAACCACTGGAGTAGTGATGGTCCCAGAGGCAAATGTATTCTTATCCATCTGCCAACCCAAATGCTGAGTCCTAGAAATGTCATTGCTATTTAGAGCTGTCTGCGTGGAAATACGTATTGAATTTTTCAGATCCCTATTTTTCTCACAATATAAGTTTTCAGAAGGATTAGACTGCTGAACTGCTAGTCAGCCTGCCTTTTAAATACATTGCACCCTTTTCCTGAGTTAGTTATTTAAAGATTAAGACCATTGAGAAGATCGAGACTACTTATGTCTTTTGCACTAAAAATAAGCTCCTAGTCTTTTATATTTATTTTATAAAAAAGGCATATCTCTGCCAGGGAAGGGGCTAGAAACTTACTTTTTTAAAATGAAAGCTGGGAATTTATAAAACATTTATTATTGATATATTGATATTTTAGTGCATTTTTTTAAAAAAAAATTAAAAATTGAAACCAGGAGGGGGGAGGGGGAAAGGGTGTGTGTGGTTTGACTATGATGACAGTCCATTCATGAAAAAGAGGGCTGGAGGTGAGTGGGAATGGACAGGATAAAGGAAACTGACAGAAACATCATGCAGAAGAAAAAGAGCAACTCAAAATTGCCTTCCAGAAAAAGATCAGGGTAAAAATGGTCTCAAAACAACTGGAAATAACTCAGAGCGGGGGACCAAAGCAAAAACTAAAGGTACAAAAATGTGTGCAGAAATGGGGGAAGTATGGGACCAGAACTGACAAAATAAATGCAGAAACACTCCCAGTCTGATAGTAGGAGGGGCAGTCACAGTTAATAGATTACACTGTGCCTACTAGGAAGAACAGGATATTTCCAGGTAATTCAAAATCTCTATTTTATATTCTGGCATGAGACAAACACATACTCCTTTCAAAGTGCAACTGAAGATGGATTAGGACTATTCAAGACTTTTCTAATATGCATTAGATGAAATCATATCCATAAGTTAACTTGGCTGCCTTAAGACAGGCATGACACAAATTAATGACCAAATACCATTTTTGATCCAAATGTAATGGAAGCTCAGGTTCTACTTAACAACTGAGAGATTCTTGCTAATTTTTTTAATGTGCCATATGATAACATAGCACAAATGATGTATCATTTCATTCAAATAGATGAAAATGTAACTGCATGGGGTCTGGTAAAATAAGTTTGTAGATGAGAGGGTTCCCGCCCCCAATGAACATGTTTCTTTGTTTACCTAAATATCTTTACTTGATGATGCAGTGTAAGTAACATGACATCACATCATGGCCTTGTCTTGAAAAGACTTATGCAACTTATGCAAATAAGGTCTTTATTGACCTAACTGTACTATTCATATTTGGTCTCCCTTGACTGAGATGAAGCATGAATTGATAGCTGAGTTGAGTCTCACAGCAAAGTATTTCACACATGTGAAGTAATTTTTTTCTGTAGATAGGTGTGATTAATTACCTGTGTTGATCTTGAGAGAAACAGTACAGTATCTTACCTGTTCAGATATAAATGTTACTTGCACAGCTGTCCCAACCGTCTCTAAAAAGGTCAGGCTCTTAACTGTCTCCACAGATTTGAATTATCCCAAACTACAATTATTAGAATTAACTTGCCTTCTCAAAGATTTAAAACCACCATCAAGAGAAAACAAAGTCAATTTAAACCTTAATTATATGGTTTTGCTGATATCACTTTCTTTTGGTCTTTAGGGATGGCCCTGACCAAAATTCACCTCAGCTGGGAGTGTTCAGTGGGAATACAGCTCTTGAAACAGCTTATAGCTCAATCAATCAAGTTCTCCTCAAGTTTCACAGTGACTTCTCCACTGGAGGGTTCTTTGTTCTAAATTTTCATGGTCAGTCGTCTACTTTTCATCTTACAAATATAATGTGTGTGTGTGTGTGTGTAAGAGAGACAGACAGAAAGAGAGAAAGAGAAGTAGCCTCTGGAGCTTTAAAAGAATATTTTCTGCCTAGTGATGTTAAAATAAATTAGATTGGTTTAATTGGCATGATATTTTCATTTAATAAAAACCTCTAGAGTATCAGCTTTTATTATTCACAGCAAAATGAATGTTAAATATTTAATACTGAGTTGCCTGGGTTTTAACATTTTAATGGGAAAAAAGCTGTCCCACTTAACCCAAGCCATGCACTCCTGAGTAAGACATTACTTTTTGGTATTGAGGAAACTTCAGCTTCATAGACAAGGTGGGAAAATTCCAGGTTCTAGTCTAGGGTTGCCAGTGGCACATCCTGGCAACCAATGGGAGATGAGGGAGGTGGGGACTTAGGAGGTGAGGGGGTCGTGATCAGCATCCCCAGCATGATTTCATTGTGCCTGGAATGATGCTCTAGCACTCACTCCAAACTCTCTGGTTTAATTTAAAGTTTTGTGTGAATGGTAGAGCATTGCCCAATATTACAGTGTCATTTTTGGGTCATGCCAGAAGTGACATAATGACACCAGAGATTGCTTACCCCCCTCCATTTCACCTGCCATTTTCCTCCCACCACCCAGCTGAGTGGCAGTGGGCAGAGGTGGCAGGGGGTGGGAAGTCTCCTATTGCCAGAAAGCAGCTGACAACCCTGTTCTAGTCCGAAATGAAAGACTGACAGCACAAACCTATGCAGAGTTACAATGGCCTTAGAGTGGATTCCTGCATAAGATTCCACTGTAAAACAGAAAAATGTTAAGCAGCA